TTACAGACAGACGGAGAGTTCCTTTTCTTTGATTGGCGGTATTGGTAGCTTGTCCATGCCCCACTGGATGACCACATGCACATGCGCACATGGGCAGCACTCACTGAACTTAATGGGTTATAGAAAAAGGAAGACATGAAGTTGGGAGGGAAATGGTAGATACCTTCGAGGAGTGGTCTCAGGGAAACTGGAGGGAAGAAGTAGGGGATGGCTGTGGCCAAGATACACTGTATGCATTTATGAAATTTTCAAACAAAAGAAAAAGAAAACATTATAAAAGTAAACTTCATTCTTCAGTTATATGACAAAGCTAAATTAATAACATACTACAAAACTAACAAGGTTAAAACCAATAACAAAATTCTTTGGGAAAGAAGAGAATGTGTGTCATTTTTTCAAAAGATGCAGTTACACTCATGCTGGATGCTACAAAATTTCTGTAATGAAGATTACAAGTATAGATTTTATATATTTACTTACTTTGCCAGTTGATTTTCACTTAATATATTTTATTAATTTAAAATAAGTTAATTTACTCATAAAAATTGTTGACTTTTAAACTTCTGTGGAATTCTGTCAGTGCTTGGGTTTTAGAACGGCATGATTGTACCCTTGCAGCAGTATTATAAAATCTCTGGAAAACATTCTTCAATTCAAATTTGGAGAAGCAGGATGAAGGTCTGAAAGTTTCATTTATTAAAAGTGCTCTGGGGTCTTTATGCAAATTGAGCTGTCGTCTCAGTGTTCAGCTTTGCATATGATTTAATTTGCTCTCTGATCTGTATATAAATACCTCAGAGGGTCACTCATGTATTCCTTTACAAGATCAAAAGGTCAGCCTCTCGATAGGTTTTCTAGACTAAGGGAAAAAAAAAAAAAAAACCCCAAAAACCCCCTGTATCCCATTACAGTGCTATATCTTGATATAATTCCCTCAATAGCAGCCTTTCATCTAGCAAGATTCCAAGCTCTCATACTCCTTTTGTTTCCCAGGAAATTAACTCAGTGCCTGGCATATGGTGGACCCTCGGTAAATATGTGTTCACCAGCAGCCACACCATCCTAGGCCTGAGATTTAATTTACAACTGCCTATAGGATATGTTCATCTAAATTTTATTTGTTAATTTGTTTGTATGTATGTATGTATGTATGTATGTATGTATGTATGTATGGGGTGTGCATCCTGGTGCATGTATGTGAGGAGGCTGGAGGGGATATCACATGTCCTGCTGTATCATGCTCTTCCTTATCCTCCGGAGACAGCACCTCTTGCAGAAGCTGAGGCTTGCTGGTTTTTTTCAGCTAGGTTGACCAGCCAATGAGCTGGGGGTGGGGGTAGTGGGGAGAGAAGAAAATGGGGGTAGGGGAAGGCCTGTCTCTGCCCTACTCAGCACTAGATAGGCACAAACCACCATGACTGCCTTTTATATAGCTTTCGAGGAGCCAAACTCAGGGCTGCATGCTTGTATGCAAGTGCTTTTATCCAAAACCATCTTCTCAGGCTCTTATACATTTTAGAAGGTTAAATACATTGATATATAAAGTTTATATACTTGAAGTTGTCATTTTAAGTAGATAGTTTGATGACTTTAATAAATGTATATATGCATGTAACTACCACCAAAATAAATAGCTCTGTCACTCCCCAAATTCTCTCATGCCATTTGCCCCACAAGCCCAGCTGCATACAGCCACTGATCTAGGCTTTATGATCACTTTATGTTAGCTTCCATTCGTCAGAATCGACATGTGACATAATACAGTATGTACTTTTGTACATGGCTTCCTTTGTGAACATGGTGCTTTTCAGATGCATTCACAAACTAGCATGTTCTAGCAGTTTGCTCCCTTTTATTATCGAGCTTTATCCCATTGCTTCAATATGCTACACTTTTAACATCTGTGGATGAATATTTAGATAGTTTCCAGGTTTTGACTCATGTTAACTACTATTGATATTGATAAATAACTGTTACATAGACTTTTTGTGTGTAAATACCAAGGGGGTAGAATGGCTGGACTATTAGGACATATACTTAAAAGAAACTTCAGATTGTTTTACATGGTGGTTCCCTCATTTTACCTCCTTGTCAGTAACATGAGTTCCCATCGCTCTGCATCTTCAGCAACACTTAGGATTATCAGTATTTTTTTTAAGTGGCTCCAGTGGATAGATGGTGGTATTTCACTGTCATTTTAAAGTCCACATGTCTGAATCTCCATTATGTCTCATTCATCAGCTGTCAATTCGGATTTTTCACATTAAAAAATCTAATGGTAATACCAGTCTAGAAGTAGTTAGGTATTAAAACAACGAATCATTAATTGAGCACTTACTTCTCTTATGATGATAAGGGCTATCCTGTTCTTTGTTGTACTGCTAGTCTCTAGCATGTGCTGGTGAATAGAGTGACATTTATTAGCTGTCTTTTTATACAGTAAATTATTCTAAATTTTAGAAGACCAATCAACAAACATTCATTGACATACAGTTTCTGAGAATCAAGGTTGAGGAGCAGCTTACTTGAGTGGTCCTTATTAAAACCCTTTAGTTAAACTATCAGCTGGTACTGCAGTCACTTGAAGACCAGGGCCGGAGATTGGCTTATAGGTCAGCAACTCTTAGGACTATTGGCAAGAAGCCTTTGTTTCTTGTTAGTTTTTATCAATTATTCTCTATTTTTTACCACATAGACCTTTCCACTGTGTTGTTTGTTCTGTGAAGCTAGGTTCCTCTAAGTGAGTGCTCTGAGAAAGAAAAAGAAGGTCAGCTAGCTGGGGATTGCTGAGGACTATCCTGGAGGCCCTAATAAAGTGTATAATGAGTATTTACTGACTGATCTCTGCATGTCGGACACTGCCATTATCTCATCCAATCCTAAATACATCTCCATGGTCCACTGTCCCTGCTTGAGAGATGGAAACAGTGAGCTTTAAAATTTCAGCAACCTGTCCAAATCAAAAGTTCTTAGTAGTTGAATCAGTGTTCAAACAGCTCTGAAGGTTGTGAAATATCATTTAGTTATAACGAATGAATTACATTAGTCTTAGAACATGTTTATTTTTAAAAGGCTTTTTAAATTTGCTTATAATTGAGTCAAACTCATTTGTATATGAGAAAAGAATACAGAAATTAAATCAAGAGAAACCTGAGAACTATTCAGGTAAAAAAGCTGATTGCTTTCCTGTTCTATGTTGGTATCATTCTTACAAGACTATCTACACTTGTTGACTGCACACAGTTAACTGAACACTGTGATAATTTCCAGGATCTTTAAAGGAAGTGACAGTATCTGTTGTCCAAAAGGCCACAAAGCCTTTGGAAATAAGGTGATACTAAAATAATCATAATGTGGAGGCACAAGGGATTACTTACTGAGGTTTGGATCCAAGAGACAAGCTATATTTTAAAAATACCTTTATCATTTATTAAAATAATCCAGTCTGAGTTTCTCTGACAAGATTAAACTGAGTGGGTCAGTATTCCTTGATTTTTGTAGAAAGCAGTGAAAAAAACTGCAAAGTTAATGTCGTGTCTTTCTGGCAGATGTCTTATCCTAGCAGGTGTCTCAGCCAGGAATGGAAGTTTTCCAGGGAGGTGGCAGAAAATGGACTTTATCCATTTCTGGAATGCAAGAATGAAGGAGAGTGGAGGCTCAAAGTCCTCCCTGAGCATGCAGTAATCAAGTTGGCACAGACAGCTTAAAGTGGGCAGGGTGCCAGGCATTTCAGGCTTTGCTGGAACTGTAGAGTCAAGGTGGTAATGCTGGGTAGAAACAAAAGTCCGACCTCTTCCCTCACTATTTAAGATAAAGTGGCCCTATTGGTAGAGCTGAAATTATTGTCTCCCTTTCCCTCCTCTATTGGCACAAAGTGCCCTGTGCACAGTTATGGGTACAGAAGATTATGAAAAATCTAGTTTGAAACCAAACTTTGCCTTGGTCGCTGAGCATTTTCAACTTTCAGTCTTCTGAATAATATGAATTCCCTAGCTCCGGATTTCAGCGGTGGCAGGTTGGGGGAATGAGTGGCACAGTGTGTCACAGGCCACAGACAGAACCTGGCCCCTGAACACATTTGAAGCAGGTGTAGGTCTCTGGTTGCCGGGGGTAAATCAGAAGAGCCGAGTACAATACATTATCAATGTGTTTGGCCTAGACGTGATCAACAGCCCTTTAGGAAGGAGTGATTTTAGTTATTCTGAGATGATAACTGGCGCAAAGGGAGAAAGAGGGCAGTTCAAGGGTCTGACAACGGTCAAGGGGACGAGCCTGGGGCAAAGCCAAAACGGCTTGTCAGGTTCCCCAGCTACTCCTTGGGTTGCAATCTGTCCTTTGTAACGAGCAGGGTATTGTGGAGGAAACAGGAGGTTCGGCTGGTCTCCTGGACTAGTTCCTCCTCGTGCCTGTAGTTCTCCACTTCAGCCTAGATTAGTCCCCAGGGCACATCACCTGGCTCGGCGAGACCTGGCTCTTGGCCCAGAGAATCTTAGAGAACTTCGCAGACTGACATATGCTCTGGGGGGTGGAGTGGGACGCGGGGACTCTAGGAGGGGTTTCCTCACTACGTAGATAGGCCGCGCTGACTACGGATGCTCCCGGGTTAGCCTGGGAACCCGGCGGCCGGTGAGCAGCTCTCACGCGGGTCAGGAAGGCCGCAGGGAATGCCCCGCGCACGGTTCGCGCCGGGGCGGTCCCTCCTGACCCCGGAAGAGAAAGTTGTTTTGGGGAAGGGGAGCTAGCGGAGGCGCCGTCCCCAAGAACTCCGACCCCGAAGTCCTCCGCTCCGTCCGCCTTCTCTCCTCGGCAGCAGCAGGCCGGTCCGAGCGGGCTTCCCCGCAGGGCCCGGCACACAGCATCCCGGCGGCGCCCGCGGACCGCAGCTGCCCTCCGACACTCCCCTGGCGGAGCCAGGTCTCCGGGAAAACCCGGAGCGGAGCCTCCCAGGCGGGCACGCCCCGATTGCGCCCCTGCGCGCATGCCCGGAGCACTGTGGCCGCGAACGACGAGCGGAGCGGCGGTGGGAGGGGACCGCGGGCCGGGCGGGCCGGGGCGGGGCGCGGGCGCGGCGGAGGCTCCTGCGCTGCTTCCTCCGAGCGCTCGGGACCGCGGAGCCCGGGCGACGGGCGAGGAGGCTGGGCGGGCAAGGACGCGGAGCGGGCCGGGCGCAGCGGGGCGCAGCGGGCTCGCATCCCGGGCTCCGCGGCTCGGGACCCGGCTGCGGCGGCTCCGGCGATGTTCCACTGCATCCCCCTGTGGCGGTGCAACCGTCATGTGGAGACCATCGACAAGCGCCACTGCTCCCTGGTTTACGTCCCCGAGGAGATCTACCGCTATGCCCGCAGCCTGGAGGAGCTGCTGCTGGACGCCAACCAGCTCCGGGAGCTGCCCGAGGTGAGTCCGCGCGTCGGATCCCGGCGGCGGGCAGGTGGCGGCGCCGCTTCTGGGTCCGCGGCGCCTGCATCCGCCGTTCCTGGGTCCCGGCTCCTGGGTCCCCCGCTCCTGGCCCTCCTTACTTCTCCACCCCTGCCCCTGTAAAAGTTCTTACTGTATACCTAGAGACCTGCTATTTAACAATTAGTTACCTGGCCACTGGAGAAAGGTTCTGGGCCAGTAAGTATTCAGGTCCAGGTCTAGGGACGACCCCCGGGCAGGTGAGAAGCCAGGTGGCTCGGACTGTTCCCAGCCTGGGGCGGCCATGCGCCCCTCGCTCCGGCCGATGGCTGGCCGCCAGATTCCCGGTCCCTGGCCACCGCTCCTCCCTCTTGGCTAAGCACGTCCTAGGGGCCATTCAGACCTGAGCAGCGCAGGTGAGCCTCAGTATCCTGGCATGGGAGGAGGTGGGGAGGTGGGATGTGCTCCTGGCCTTATCGCTGCGGGCTGTGCCCTGGAGGGATGCCGCTGGCTGGGCTCGGTAACCCGCGGCAGCAGCAAGGAGCTGGGCAGGAGGGGAACAGGTGCGGGTGCCCAGATGCCCGCCGCGCCCTGCCTGAGGGGACCTGTTGCGTGGTGGGAGAGGAGGTGACCCCTGCAGAGGGTCCACCTGCCAGTCTACCCTGCTGCAGGCCCCCCTCCCCCCACAGCCGCCACACAACCTGCCCGCGTCCACCCTGCAGTGATGCCAACCTCCTCGGAGGGAGTTGTTGACAAATATTAATCACCTGTCGCACCGAACTTGCCCAGTGATCTATGCTGATGGTTCTCTTTAGAGGGTCCCGGCGAGGGTAGACAGTGAACTTTTAACCCTTGAGTTTGCCTCCGGAATTTAGCTTTAACTCTTCAGGAGGAAGGCATCCCTACCCCAGGTATACAGGAAGTTGGTGTGTGGCACTCTAAAGGTGTGCAGGAAATAGGAAGACTGCTGGGAGGCGGAGAGAGAACCCGGAGGCCCGAGCCTTGTCCTTTAGTGAACACGAATGCCCTGTCGTTGTCAAACAGTGGTCAGATGTCAGGCTTGTTGGAGCAAACCCTGTGATCTCCAGTGTTTAGAAAATCAGAACAGTGTTTTTCTCAGTATTTCAAGGGTTGTTCTTGGATTAACTTTCCTTGGTTCCCGTGGAATTGTTTGTATGACTTCCTCTGTGTAATCAGAAAGATTATCCTCACTAGAATCTTTGCAAAGCATCCCCTCACCCCTCAATTTAGTTCAGAAGTAGAAAAGTCATCCCATTCCCCCAGGCACTTATTATTGTAGGCATTTTCAAACACACGATGTGGCTTTTAGCTTCCTTAAGTCACACGCTCCTTCTTTAAGTTGTACACTTGTTGGACATGGAAATACAGAAAATGTAACTTAATGCTTTTCAAGGGCTTTGAAATGAAGTAGTTAAAAGACTTAGTGAAAAGCTACTTAACTATAAACATTTCAGTGCTCTGTGTAGTATTTGTTTGTGTTTTATTGTGGAGCTGGAAGTTTTCTTTGGATTGGATTGGCTTTTCGTTCCCTTCTTCAGATTGTGGGATTTCCTGTAGTACTGGAGAGTTTTGCTTGGCATAAGGTTTGAAGGTTTTGAAAATGTCAGGTATTTCTATAGATGGTAAATGGCAGCTTCTCAGAAATACAGTAAATAAACATTTCAAAACCAAAGGATGATCTTGGTTATTGGTAATTGTTGTTCTAACAGCCCTTAAATTGAGGTTTAAAAATGAATTTCTCCCTGACTTTGTTCACCTTGGCTACTGGGTATGTACATGTCAGACAGAAAAACCACCTCGAAAGCACCTTTGTTTCATCCATTCAGCCTTTCCTTAGGCTAGCCGCTGTGCATGTCTGAGATCTGTGTAACCTGTCACTACTGGTCACTCACGGCCCTGGCCTCTGACCCCGAGCTCCTGTCTCTTGCTGTAAGCTGCAAGATCTTTAGTATCCTGGCCATACCAGCTGGATGTTTAGTGTCCATGATTTGGAAACAGCCAAAGGGGAAGCCTGGCCCCCTCCCTGGACCAGAGGTTTCAGGTAATGATAGACATCTCCAGGAAAGGTCTGCAACCCCTTATTTGCTCTAACATCTTCATTTACAAATTGAGGCTCAGAATTGCAGTGATTTTTCTCAGGGCTCTGCATCTTGTTAGATGCAGTCTCTGGCTACCTTCTGCCCTCTGAATCGTCAGTAAACTACAGGAGCATTGAACATTTAGTAGGAATCTGGCTGTTCTTTTACACATACTTCAAACCTTTAGCTGTTCAGTCTTTCCTTTGTTACTTGTGTCATCTAATCTTGGCCTTGTTAAATATTTACTGAGGTACCATTACTTACTAGTTATTAGGAATAGAGATTAAAGAAGCTATAATTCCTATGAGCGGTTTGCAGTGTTGTAGGGAGACTGATGACTTCAGTATAGATGTGGTGACTGGGGTGCAGCGGGTACCTCACTTCATCAACCTACTCATCAGCCACAGCGTGATGGTCACTTACCGAACTGTACAGCTCTTTACCACCTGCACCATTGAGTGAAGAGTTCAGCTTTGTGGCAGCTTCTTGTCATTGCTGCCTTTCACAGAAGGGCCAGAGCCCTCCTCTCTAGCTTGGCTTTGGGGGAGAGTCATCCCATCTCTCTGCTGCTCCATGATCCACTCATGCTTGCAGCTAGGTGCTTTTGGTTTTTGTACAAATGGAAAATCTCACTTTAACCTCCTTGAAGTACCTGCCGGCCTTTTATTCCCTCCTCCGAGCACAGAGCCTCACCCTCCCACCCAGTAGGTCTTGGTCAATAAAGTTACTTTTCTTTTGAACAAGTGTTTCTGATTCTTATAAAAACCATCCTTCTCTTCTGCTTTCTCTTCTTGAAGCATATCCCTCTTCTGTTGTCTACTTTTTCTAAGATAGTCAGAATTTTCTCATTGGATTTGACTCCAGAAATGAAGATTGACCATGCGGTGAAATGCTTTGTCTTGCTTGTCTGTGGCATTGTTGGCTTCCCCTCTGCACATCCTCAGTGTCTCTCCTCAGAATCCTCCAGTTCTCCAATACTCCAAAGACATGTGAGTTTTACTGCGACCTGTCTAGCACCACCACAGTACTTAGGATAGTAGTCAGTAAATAGTTTGAGTGAAGGCGCAAGTCATCACTTACAAAATAGTTTCATGTTTCCCCTCCTCTTAGAGTCTAGTTGACCTTCTGCTGATTGCCAGATAAATGTATCTCAAAGCCCTGGCCCCCTCCATCATTCTTCCTCATCTTTTCCTAGTTCCAGAGCACTTATCATGACCCAAGTTCAAACTATGTTTGCCTACTTGTTCTTTGAAGGTCTGCTCAATTAGGTCCTAAGCTATAGGAGGGCAAGATGTTCATGGCTGAACCTAGGCCAGGATCTGGTACATTGTGGGCTTCTAATCACTTGTTGCGTTAATGGCTCCTTGTGTGCTGCCATCAGAAGGCTGGCCTAGTTTCTTAGCCATCATAATCCCCCCTCCTGTGGTCTGTCTTCAGAGAGTTGAAACTGCCAATGACAAACATTTTTTTAGAGTCCGCTGGTCTTGTCTTACAAATCTTCGTTCTCTATCTCTTTTGTGCTGGAAGAGAGTGACCACCTTTGCCTACCCTTGAAATAATATTGTGCGTAATACTAATAAACACGTTTTCTGTGAGTTCAAGTTCAGTTTCAGCACCTGCAGCTGTGCAAGGCGCTGTCCTCCCCATTCAGAATAAGTCAGCCTTGTTTTCGGTTTGGGTCTCACCTTGGAACTGGTCTTTCTTCATAACAGCACCATTTCCTGTCATTTTTCCTGTCTCAAAAGTCCATTGATTTATCTTTGATTCTTTTCTTCACCATCTGTCTTGTCTCCAAGATCTGTGTTTCTTTCTCAAAATACCTCTCCCTTCAGTCTCCTCACACGCTCGTAGTTGGCTTCACCTGGATTCATACTGCCCTTTGCTGGTCATCTTTTACCAGGTCTCTTTGGTCCTTGTCTTGAAGGTCCTTGTTGGTTCGATAGTTCCAGGCAGTGTTCATCTCTTGGGTACTCTCTCCCAGCCTTGGTTTCTGCAGAATAAAAAAAAAGACATTTCTTTATTTATTATTTTTATTTTGTGTATGAGTGTATTGCCTGCACTGTATGTGAGTGCACCTGTGTCGTGCAATGCTGCGGAGGTCAGAAGAGGGCTTCGGATTCCCTTGGAACTGCAGTCAAGGATGGTTCATAGCTGCCATGTGGATGCTGGGAATCGAACCCGGGTCTTCTGCAAGAACAATCAGTGCTCTTAATCGCTGAGCCATCTCTCTAGCCCGGTTTCTGCAGATTTTAAGAGTACTGCTTACTTTGTAGTGTTAGAGGATTTAAAAGATCTTTATTAGATCTTTCTGGATACTCTGACACTTTTTATTATGTTTCTTTTTTTTTTAAAATTTTATTTTTTTAATTTATTTTTATCTGTATGCGTGTATTGTCTGCATGAAGGTAAGTGCACCCGTGTCATGCAATGCCCGCAGAGGTCAGAAGAGGCTGTTGGATCCCCTGGGACTGGAGCTAAGGACAGTTGTTAGCTGCCATGTGGTTGCTGGGATTTGAACCCAGGTCTTCTGCAAGAACAACCAGTGTTCTTAACTGCTGAGACAGCTCTCCAGCCCTATTTATTATGTTTCTTAACTGAAGTTTAAAGAAATATTTTTCTTTGGGAATCTAAGGAGCTTGTTAAACCAGAATTAAAATTTAATATTACTTTCAGTAACTAAAAAAGTCAGAAATTCTGTAACATTGAAAGACCTTATAAAGAGTAACACCTTACAATTTTTATTGCCCATCCTTTGAGCGTTCCTTCGATGATAGCTAAGGAGGAAGAGTAGATGTGGATGCATTACAGAAATAATGTGTTGGAGTCCATGGCGGCTGCAACTGGAAGAGCAAAGATTCCATTGTGCTTTGTTAAGGAGAACCAGGAGGTGAAGGGGCTAAG